TATATATATACTGTAACAGGGACTTTTATAACCCCTGGGTGGCTAACCTCCTCGTCTTTTAATCCTGCCATGTAGACAAAATATTTTAACATGTATTTGGGAAGAGGATTGTTTAATATTACCTGCTTATGCTTACTCAGAACTGAGACAGTTTAATTAAGCAATTTATATAGTTTTGCCAGCATGCGGCTACTAACCATGTGCTTAATATTTCTTTAAATTTGAAACTTTGCTGCAAATAACATGCTAACACTAGGCTAACATTAGTTAGGTTCCATAAAAACATCTGCAAAAGACTGAGGCCGCAAACTGTGAAACGCAACTTAGCAGGGCTATGGAAAAATGAACCATTTAGATAGAACTAAGGTATACTCTTTGAATTAAACCTACATAAAGAATAATAATAATTACTGCAGATTTCCTTTGAACAGTTAAACACAAAAACAACATATTCATATATTATCTGACTCCAAATCAGCTGCTCTATTTTTTAATCCAGTGTCACTAGGTGAGCTCCGTACAAACCTTAAAATCTGAAATAACTCATCTTTCCTTATTTACAAGATGCTCTATTTTTCAATATTAGGCATAAATGGCAGAGAACTAATGAACCAAATCCTAAAAACTGAAGTGTGAAGGCTTTTTGAATTAATACATTAATTTAACTTTTTGACCTTTTTTTTAGGTTTGTCCTAAATGTGCGTTGTAATTATTTCCGCAGCATTAATCCCACATCTCAGGTGGGCTTTAAAATTAATTCATACTTACACAACAGACATCAGTAATCCATCACATCATCAGGTGGGGGGATAAACTGTGAGGGTATTTTCTTTTTTTATATACATGTTTGTGATTGTTTGAGTGTGTCCCGACACATACAGTGACCCTGGAAGCCATATGCTGATTAATGACTCGTCTCAGAGAGGTGAGGCCGGGGCCGGGGCAGATATGACATCTCATTTACAGAAAAACCCACCAACACATTTATGTTCCTTTCTGCTGTGAGTTGGTTTGTGATGTCAAAATATAACTCATGTTGTCTGGAACTGTTTGCTCGAGAAGATTTCAGGGTCGAAAATTACTGTTGGGGTAAATCTTGGGGAAATGATCTAAATGTCTTCCATGCCTATATAGTTGTGTGTGTGTGTGTGTGTTTGTGTAAAATTCCAACATTAAAAAGAGGTCTCCTCTTCAGCCCACTGTACAAACAGTCATCAAGAGCACACAAATTCAAAGCCGAAAGGTCACTCTGATCCCTTGGCTGTGTTTAAAACACCAGCCACACCACTGGTGACTGATGGACTTCAATTTTCTCTTCCTCTGTTCATTTCACTGCCTCCCAGCTGGAGTGTGAATATTAGGCTTTGAACAGCCGAGAGGGGAAGAGATACGGCTGTGTTAGCCGGGGCAGAGCGAAAAGATGGAAAGAAAGGAGGGGAGGGAGGGAGGCAGAGAGGTAGAGACCCAAAAATGAGGGGAAATGGGAGGAACGGATGAAAAGCAAAGAAACCAAAGTCATGAATTGGCAAATATCCTTCATAAATCTTAAAGACAGAGCCTGAGTTTCCTCTTCGAGATTTGACATTTCAGAGTAAGTGAAGCACACAGCTAACACACAGTTGTATAAAATCAAACGTGCTTTCTGGCTGCTGGATCTGATCTGTTCCAGACTGTTTTAATATCTCAAATCAAGTGTTTATTTCCTGGCAAAAATACATAATTGATTTGGAAGAGAAACTCCGATATTAATGTCAGTATTTATTCTAACTAGCAGAGAAAATAGCTCTGTTATTCTCTATCAGTTTCATCAATCAAAATGAACCAATTCCCTCATCCTCATCAAAACTGAGCTCATTTCCTCACAGCTATAAATTATATTTGTAAGTGTCAGAAAGCCTCACTTCTTTCTTCACAAGTTCTCTGTTGGTTAAACTACGGCTGTTAGTATTCATGTTCAGATAAAATATTTACACTAGTAATAGCAGTTCACATTCAAGGCATCTCTGCAAATCAACGGTTTTCTTAACCTTCAAGAAATCAGCAAAACAGAGCGTGGCTGGAAAACAAGGAAGAAATAAAAGTGACAGAAAGTTCAGATTAGCCAAAACCATCATTTTCTGGCAAAACTGTGTCAAACTAAACGATTTTAGGCATTCTCGTCTAAAATATTCTTGTTTTTTTTATTGATGTAAAGAGAATTTTTGCTCCTGAGCTAAAATTCTCCTCTGTTCAATAAAATAAAACCAAAACTGATCACAACTTTTCTCTTTTTGTCCTTTATTTGGTTTTGTAATAAACTCCAGTACTTTAGTAAGTAAGGTAAGGTTTAAGTAAGGTTATTTAGTTACGCAATAAAATAAACATTTTACTGTTTTAGAGGATAGAAAAGGCATTCGTTTTGTGTTGAAAGCCATGACTTTCAGTCAGACTGTTGCTTTTAAGTGTATTTAAGTGACTTTAATGGTGACGTTTCAGTTTAATGTTTAACCAGATTCACAGGCCCGGATCATTTTGTGGTGCGCTGTAATATTTTATTTGCATTAATCATCTTTGTTTGAGCATAAGGTGATTATATATACATACACAGTATATATAT